AAAATGTTTAGAAACACTCACTGAAGAATTACCAACAAATTTCGACTTCCGCAAGTCCGCCATCTTGGAATTAATAACCTCTAAAAATACTAAATCTGCGTTTAAACACCCGCCACCAATTTTTTTTTCGGCGAAATTTTCAGAGAATGTTTAGAAACACTCACTGAAGAATTACCAACAAATTTCGACTTCCGCAAGTCCGCCATCTTGGAATTAATAACCTCTAAAAATACTAAATCTGCGTTTAAACACCCGCTACCAATTTTTTTTTCGGCGAAATTTTCAGAGAATGTTTAGAAACACTCACTGAACAACTACGAACAAATTTCGACTTCCGCAAGTCCGCCATCTTGGAAATAATAACCTCAAAAAATACTAAATCTTCGTTTAAACACCCGCCACCAATTTTTTTTTTCGGCGAAATTTTCAGAGAATGTTTAGAAACACTCACTGAACAACTACGAACAAATTTCGACTTCCGCAAGTCCGCCATCTTGGAAATAATAACCTCAAAAAATACTAAATCTTCGTTTAAACACCCGCCACCAATTTTTTTTTCGGCGAAATTTTCAGAGAATGTTTAGAAACACTCACTGAACAACTACGAACAAATTTCGACTTCCGCAAGTCCGCCATCTTGGAAATAATAACCTCAAAAAATTATAAATCTTCGTTTAAACACCCGCCACCAATTTTTTTTTCGGCGAAATTTTCAGAGAAAGTTTAGAAACACTCACTGAAGAATTACCAACAAATTTCGACTTCCGCAAGTCCGCCATCTTGGAATTTATAACCTCACAAAATACTAAATCTTCGTTTAAACACCAGCCACCAATTTTTTTTTCAGCCAAATTTTGAGAGAATGTTTAGAAACACTCACTGAACAATAACGAACAAATGTCGACTTCCGCAAGTCCGCCATCTTGGAATTAATAACCTCAAAAAATACTAAATCTGCGTTTAAACACCCGCCACCAATTTTTTTTTCGGCGAAATTTTCAGAGAAAGTTTAGAAACACTCACTGAACAACTACGAACAAATTTCGACTTCCGCAAGTCCGCCATCTTGGAATTAATAACCTCAAAAAATTCTAAATCTGCGTTTAAACACCCGCCACCAATTTTTTTTTCAGCCAAATTTTGAGAGAATGTTTAGAAACACTCACTGAACAATAACGAACAAATGTCGACTTCCGCAAGTCCGCCATCTTGGAATTAATAACCTCAAAAAATACTAAATCTGCGTTTAAACACCCGCCACCAATTTTTTTTTCGGCGAAATTTTCAGAGAATGTTCAAAAACACTCACTGAAGAATTACCAACAAATTTCGACTTCCGCAAGTCCGCCATCTTGGAATTTATAACCTCACAAAATACTAAATCTTCGTTTAAACACCCGCCACCAATTTTTTTTTCATCCAAATTTTGAGAGAATGTTTAGAAACACTCACTGAACAATAACGAACAAATGTCGACTTCCGAAAGTCCGCCATCTTGGAATTAATAACCTCAAAAAATACTAAATCTGCGTTTAAACACCCGCCACCAATTTTTTTTTCGGCGAAATTTTCAGAGAAAGTTTAGAAACACTCACTGAAGAATTACCAACAAATTTCGACTTCCGCAAGTCCGCCATCTTGGAAATAATAACCTCAAAAAATACTAAATCTTCGTTTAAACACCCGCCACCAATTTTTTTTTCGGCGAAATTTTCAGAGAATGTTTAGAAACACTCACTGAACAACTACGAACAAATTTCGACTTCCGCAAGTCCGCCATCTTGGAAATAATAACCTCAAAAAATACTAAATCTTCGTTTAAACACCCGCCACCAATTTTTTTTTCGGCGAAATTTTCAGAGAATGTTTAGAAACACTCACTGAACAACTACGAACAAATTTCGACTTCCGCAAGTCCGCCATCTTGGAAATAATAACCTTAAAAAATTATAAATCTTCGTTTAAACACCCGCCACCAATTTTTTTTTCGGCGAAATTTTCAGAGAAAGTTTAGAAACACTCACTGAAGAATTACCAACAAATTTCGACTTCCGCAAGTCCGCCATCTTGGAATTTATAACCTCACAAAATACTAAATCTTCGTTTAAACACCCGCCACCAATTTTTTTTTCAGCCAAATTTTGAGAGAATGTTTAGAAACACTCACTGAACAATAACGAACAAATGTCGACTTCCGCAAGTCCGCCATCTTGGAATTAATAACCTCAAAAAATACTAAATCTGCGTTTAAACACCCGCCACCAATTTTTTTTTCGGCAAAATTTTCAGAGAATGTTTAGAAACACTCACTGAAGAATTAGGAACAAATGTCGACTTCGGCAAGTCCGCCATCTTGGAATTAATAACCTCAAAGAATACTAAATCTCCGTTTAAACACCCGCCACCAATTTTTTTTTCAGCGAAACTTTGAGGGATTGTTAAGAATGGTTCACTGAACAATTTCCAACAAATTTCGACTTCCGGAAGTCCGCCATCTTGGAAATAATAACCTCAAAAAATAATAAATCTTCGTTTAAACACCCGCCACCAATTTTTTTTTCAGCGAAATTTTCAGAGAATGTTTAGAAACACTCACTGAACAATTTCGAACAAATTTCGACTTCCGCAAGTCCGCCATCTTGGAATTAATAACCTTAAAAAATTATAAATCTTCGTTTATACACCCGCCACAAATTTTTTTTCAGCCAAATTTTCAGAGAATGTTTAGAAACACTCACTGAACAATTTCGAACAAATTTCGACTTCCGCAAGTCCGCCATCTTGGAATTAATAACCTTAAAAAATTATAAATCTTCGTTTATACACCCGCCACAAATTTTTTTTCAGCCAAATTTTCAGAGAATGTTAAGAAACACTCACTGAACAACTACGAACAAATTGCGACTTCTGCATTTTCGCCATCTTGGAATTAATAACCTCAAATAATACTAAATCTGCGTTTATACACCCGCCACCAATTTTGTTTTTAGCGAAACTTTTAGGATGTGTTTAAATCAGGTCATTAAACAATTTGGAACACATTTCGACTTCCGCGAGTCCGACATCTTGGACCTGATTACCCCGCGAAATATTTAATCATCGTTTAAACACCCACCACCAATTTTTTTTTCAGCGAAACTTTCAGGGATTGTTAAGAATGGTTCACTGAACAATTTCCATCAAATTTCGGCTTCCGGAAGTCCGCCATCTTGGACCTGATTACCCTGAGAAATATTTAATCATCGTTTGAACACCTATCAACAATTTTTTTACATTGAATTTTACCGAATATGGTCATTAAAGATCACTGAGCGAATACGTTGAAATTCTGAAAGTTCGCCATCTAGGACTTTATTATCCCGAGAAGTTTAATATCAACGTTAAAATTACCGTCAACTATGATTTAATATGTAATTTTACTAGCAATTAGTGAGTTTTTAATATTTGTTAGTAGAATTTTACTAATTCTAAAAAAATAAAAAATACTGTTGATTAAATTGTTTTTTTAAAAATCGATAAAACTGTTTTACAAATTTATTTACTGAAATAGTTATATCTACTTAGTAAAAAATACATTTAATTTTTACTAATAGTTAATATTTTTTTATTAATTGAAAAGAGGAAAAGTCATTTTTGAATACTTCTAAAAATGCGTAAAATTTAACTTTTCTAAAGAGTTGACACAAAAATTTAATTTTGTTTTTCTTTATTCCTAGGCAAAGTTTTAACTTTTTTCCTGACCCTAAAGAATATTCTGATTCACTTTAAAAATGATTAGCTACTGAAAAAATGTTCTATTATAGATATATTAGAACTTTTTTTTCATGAATCTCTTTAATTGTAAAATTCTTCGGAAACGTCAACAACTTAGTTTTTACTCATTATTTTTCAATAACAATTAAGATTTTCAAAAATTTCAACTACAAATGTTTTGAAATTGAAGAACTTAAATGAATATTATTAAAAAACGTGAAGATATAGATTAGTCCAAGTGAAAGATCAATTTTTTCATGTTTTAAATAATTATAGATTACTGATAGAGAAAATCATTATTTCATATTATAAGAATATTGTTACTATAACTTTTTCTAAAAGTTTTGAACTAAAATACTTCTTTAAATGAATAAATGAATGAATTACTTTTAATGTTTAAAAAAGTTCTTTTAAAATTTTCAAAGCATTAGTTTACAGTTAAATTTTTTAAATTTCGTTTATTCGAAAATTCTTTGATTAAATATAAATTAATAAATAAAATTTTTTAATAATTTAAAGAAAAAATTTAACTAATCTTTTCCAAAAACTTTAATTCTACAAAATTGTTAATTAAAAATATGAAAACTTTAAATTTTCAAAGACATTAATTTAAAACCTTTTTAAAATTCAGTTGTTTCAAAAATTTCATACTATAATACTTTTAAAATTTAATTCTTATTTAAAATTTTAACTTAAATTTATTTTTAAATAATTTTTTATTAGAAAATTGTACAAAAATTCAATTATTTAAATACAAAAATAAATAATTTTTTGAGGAATGGAATATTTCTTAAAATTGAATTCTTTCGAAGAATTGTAATAAAATTTTTAAGAATTCGAGGAATTTGATTAAAATTGTATTAAAAATAATTCAATTCATAAAAAGAATTTTATTATTTGTGTAAGTAATTGAATTCCTGTGAAATTTTTATTAAAAAATTAATTAAATTGATTATTTATACCCATTTTAATTTTTTTATTTATGAAAATATTTATTTTATTTTTTATTTAAAAAAATAAATAATTAAAGGTTTTATATTAGAATTCGTGGTAATTTCGTAGTTTATGAAGTATACAAAAAAGACAGCAAAGTAGAGAATTTTCTCATGCTTAAGCATTAATTGTTAATAAAAATAATTAAACAATAATATTTTGTTTTTATATAAAGTGTATTTAATATATAATTTATATTATATTTAAATATAATATACAGAGATTAAGAGTAATAATAATAATAAAATATTTTTTTAATTGAAATACTGCGAATTTCCTCCTCTTCCGAAGTTTTTCCACCCCCTTCGACCCCTTCCGCGTCCACGGTATCCTCGACCACGATATCCGCGGCCACGACTTGCTCCACTTTCCTAAAAAAATAAAAGGAAATGTATACAAAATTTTTTTTAATTATCAAAATGTTCAGATAATAAAAATTGTACTATTGCATTTATTTACGAATTTATTTAATTGTAAAATTATTTGAAAACACCAATAAATTTTTTAAAATAAATATTCAATTAATATTTTTTCACAGGAATTAAGATTTTCAAAAATTTTAAATTCAAACATTTTTGAAATAATTCGACAACTTATAATGAGAAAGATGATCGAGTTAATCAATTCAATTATTGTTTATAATTTTTAACTAATATTTCTCTGAAAATCAATTATTTTAAAATAATTTTAAAAAAATTCAATTAAACTGTTTCAAAAAAATTAATTCTACAGAATTGTTAGTTGAAAGTATGAAAAATACTAATTTTCAAAGACTTTAATTTGAAATATGTTCAAAATTCAATTAATCTAAAACTATTTATATTTTGCAAAATTGAATAATTAGTCATTATCATTTTTCCACAAGAATTAAGATTTTCAAACATTTTTATTTTAAAACTTTATGAAATTAAACAACTTATAAAAGATTGTTATAAAATATGACCGACTGATAAAATAGTTATTTTGTATTATAAGAATATTGTTACTGTAACTTTTTTTAAATTACTTTCATCATTTCACTTCAATTATTGTTTTCCAGAATTTTGAACTGAAATTCTTCTATAAATACAATATTTTAAATAATTTTTTAAAAAGTTTTTTGAATATTTTCAAATTCATTTGTTTACAATTCAATTCTACAAAAATTCAATTTTTCAGAAAATCTTCAATTAAATATCTATTAGAAAATAAAAACTTCAAATAATTTTAAAAAAAATACGCAATTAAACTTTTCCAAAAAATTTAATACTACAGAATTGTTTGTTGAAAGTATGAAAAATACAAATTTTCAAAGATTTTAATTTTAAACTTGTTCAAAATTTAATTACAGGGTTGCCACAAATATTTAATTTTATTTTTCCCTGACTTTTCCCTGATTTTTCGACAAAAAAATTTTCTCAAAATATTCAATTATTTGAAAAAATTGTAATAAAATTCGTTGCAATAATTCAATTATTTTCAAAAAAAAAAAAATAAATAAATCGATTATTCGGTAATTCATTTTCTAATCAATTTTTATTAGAAAATTCTAGAAGAATTCAATTATTTAAATTAAAAAATAAATCCTTTATTCAAATTTTTAAAAATAATTCAATTCTGAAAAAGAATTTTATTATTTCTAGCAATAATTGATATCTTGACGAGAATTTAAAAACATTTTTCTAAATAATTGAATATTAAAGAATTTTATTATTTATAAAGATAATTGAAATCACTTGTAACTTTTCCAAAATTCAATTTTTTAAAATTATTTTTAACAAAAATTCTTTTATCAATCTAGTATTTATGGACATTGTAAAAATGATTCATTAAATAATTTATAAGTCATAATTTGATGATAGTTCTTGTAAAATTAAGTTATGTAAAAAGAAATTATTATCTGAAATAATAAAAATTCAAGGTTTTGTATTCAAATTCGTGGTAGTTTCATAGTTTACGAGGCAAACAAATAAAACATCAAAATTCAGAGTTTTTCATGAATTTTTAAAATTTAATTTTTTCAGTACTTTTAAAATTCAATTTTTTCAGTACTTTTACTAAAAATCTCTGCCCAATTTTACTTTGCCTGACTTTTCCCTGAATTCCCAGACCTGTGGCAACCCTGAATTATTTCTAAAAATTCATGTTGTAATGCTTTTAATATTCAATTATTATTATCTAAAATTTTAACTAGAATTCATTTTTAAATCAATTTTTATTAGAAAATTCTGAGAGAATTCAATTACTTAAATAAAAAAAAGTTTATTGAATAATTTAAAATTTATTAAAATTGAGTTCTCATAAAGAATTTCATTAACAAATTTTCAAATAATTAAATTGTTGAAAAATTTGTAAACAATTTAACTCCTGTGAAATTTTTATTATTTTTGAAAGTAATTAAATGAAATTCTTACCGCATCTTGGCTCCATGTTGCCGACTCATTAACACCAGGTGGTGCCGTTGGTGCAGCCGGATACGCAGCATAATTTTGATATGCTGCGTATGGTGCTGGAGCTGGTGGGTAGTATGGTGCTGGAGCTGGTGGAGCCGCGTAAGGTGCTGTTGGTGTTGCATATTGTGCTGGAGCTGGAGGAGCCGCGTAAGGTGCTGGAGCTGCGTAAGGTGCTGGTGGTGTTGCGTATTGTGCTGGTGATGAATGGTAATTGTATGATGAATGGTATGGTGCTGGCGGTGCCGCGTCTTGTGCTGGTGGTGAAGAGTAGTATGATGCTGGCGGAGCTGCTGGTGCCGCATAAGGTGCAGGCGGAGCTGCTGGTGCCGCATAAGGTGCCGGCGGAGCTGCTGATGGCGCATAAGGTGCTGGCGGAGCTGCTGGTGCCGCATATGGTGCTGGCGGAGCTGCTGATCCCGCATAAAGTGCCGGCGGAGCTGCTGATGGCGCATAAGGTGCTTGCGGAGCTGCTGATCCCGCATAAGGTGCCGGCGGAGCTGCTGGTGCCGTATAAGGTGCTGGCGGAGCTGCTGGTGCCGCATAAGGTGCTGGTGGAGCTGCTGATCCCGCATAATGTGCCGGCGGAGCTGCTGATGGCGCATAAGGTGCTGGCGGAGCTGCTGGTGCCGCATATTGCGCTGGCGGAGCTGCTGATCCCGCATAAGGTGCCGGCGGAGCTGCTGATCCCGCATAAGGTGCCGGCGGAGCTGCTGGTGCCGCATAAGGTGCAGGCGGAGCTGCTGGTGCCGTATAAGGTGCTGGCGGAGCTGCTGGTGCCGTATAAGGTGCTGGCGGAGCTGCTGGTGCCGCATAAGGTGCTGGTGGAGCTGCTGATGCCATATAAGGTGCAGGCGGAGCTGCTGGTGCCGCATAAGGTGCTGGCGGAGCTGCTGGTGCCGCATAAGGTGCTGGCGGAGCTGCTGGTGCCGCATATGGTGCTGGCGGAGCTGCTGATGCCGCATAAGGTGCTGGTGGTTGTGCGTAGTATTGTGCTGGTTGTGTCATGTAAGGTGCTGGTGGTGGTGCGTAGTATTGCGCTGTTGGTGTCATGTAAGGTGCTGGTGCTGGAGCAGTTCCTTCAGCGGCAGGAGGAGCTGGAGCACTTGGTGCCTTGAAAAGTGAGGAGTATAGTGCTGGAGGTGTTTGAGCAGCGAATGATGGTGTTGGAGCAGCGGCGGATGGTGTTGGAGCAGTGGCGGATGGTGCTGTGCCAGCGACGAATGGTGCTGTACCAGTAACGGATGGTGCTGCACCAGGATGACCTGCAGTAGCTATAGGAGGTGCTGAACCAGCCACAGGATGACCAGAAGCGACTGGAGGTGCTTGACCAGTGATAGTATGACTTGGAGTAGCTGTAGCAGGAGCTCGAGTAGCAGGAGGTGCTGAACCATCGACAATAGGAGGTGGATTCTTTCCTTTGGTTGCGGATCCAGTTTTCACCTCTGAAGCGTATCCCGTATTTGACGGTTTCTGGAAACAAATTTTTTATTTAATATATAAGAAACATTCTTTTAAAAGATTTATTTAATTTATTAAGTGTATTCGATTTTGTTAATAATTGTGAATAATAATTTTACTATTAAAATTGATTAACATTATTGATAGAAAAATAAATAATATTTAAGAATAAATTGTTTGATTATTCAGTGTAAAAAAATTTCTAACTATTTTCAATAAAAAACTTTTTAAAATTTGTGTTTTAAAAATATTTAAAGAAAATCTTCAAAAATTATTTGCTGTAAGATTTAAAAAAATATTTTATAAAAGTGTATATTGTTTGTTTATTTATGATTCAAACATAATCAAAGAATTAAAATGCACTGCATTTTATATAAATAATTGGATTTAAAAAAATATGTTGACATTTTAAAAAATCATTATTAATTTCAGAAAAATTAATAATTAGAAATATCAAGGTTGCCACAAATATTTAATTTTATTTTTCCTTGATTTGCAGACAAAATTTTCACTTTTTCCCTGGCCCTAAAAAATATTCTGATTCACTCTAAAAATTAATAGATATTCAAAAAAAATTTCTATTTCATGTATTTACAAATTTTGTTAATTGTAAAATTATACAAAAACATCATTAATTTATTTTTTAAATAAATATTTAATCCTTATTATTTTTTGAAATTCAACAATTTTTAAGAATATTATAACAAAACATAAAGAAGGAGATCAACTCCAAGTCGAAGACTCGGAGTGATCTCCTTCTTTATGTTTTGTTATAATTTAAATTACCATGAAATTTTTCAAACAAAACAAGAATTTTATTCAAATTTTTAAAAATAATTGAATTTTGAAAAAGAATTTTAATATTTCTAACAATAATTGAAATCTTGATGAGAATTTAAAAACATTTTTCTAAATAATTGAATATTAAAGAATTTTATTATTTATAAAGATAATTAAAATTTTGAGAAGAATTATTTTTTAAAAAAATTTTAAAACATAATTGAATTTTTACGAGGAATTTTATTACTTTTGAAAATAATTTAATTCTTCCAAACGAATTTTATTCAAGTTTATAAAAATAATTGAATTTCGGTGAAGAATTTTACTATTTCTAAAAATAATTGAATTCCTGAAAAGAACTTTGTTAATTTTTTTTTAAATAATTGAATTCATGCGACATATTTTATAAAATTCTTTTTAAATAATTAATATTTTTCGAAAAATTTTATGAAATTTTGTATATTAAATAATTGAACTCATGTGAAAATTTTATTGCTTATGAAAATAATGGAATTATTTCAAAGAAATTTATTAAATATTTTATGAATTATTGAATTCCTGTGAAATTTTAACAAGAATTTTATTCAAATTTTTAAAAATAATTCAATTTTGAAAAAGAATTTTATTATTTCTAACAATAATTGAAATATTGACGAGAATTTAAAAACATTTTTCTAAATAATTGAATATTAAAGAATTTTATTATTTATAAAGATAATTGAAATTAGTTGTAACTTTTCCAAAATTCAATTTTTTAAAATTATTTTTAACAAAAATTCTTTTATCAATCTAGTATTTATGGACATTGTAAAAATGATTCATTAAATAATTTATAAGTCATAATTTTCCGATAGTTCTTGAAAAATTAAGTTATTTAAAAAGAAATTATTGTCTGAAATAGAAAAAATTCAAGGTTTTGTATTAAAATTCGTGGTAATTCCATAGATTATGAGGCAAAGATAAAAATATCAAAATTCAGAGGTTTTTCATGAATTTTTAAAAATTCAATTTTTTTTCAGTACTTTTAATAATAATCCCTGATTTTTTCCTGACCTGTGGCAACCCTGTTTAATCAATTTTTATTAGAAAATTGTAGAAGAATTCAATTATTTAAATTAAGAAATAAATAATTTATTGAATAATTGAATATTTGTTAAAATTAAATTCTCATAAAGAATTTTATCAACATTTTATTAAATAATTTAATTCTTTTGACAAATTTTAATAAATTTTTTAAGAATAATTACATTTTTCCAGGAATTTGATTAAAATATTATATTAAACATTAATTAAAATACTGCGATGAGTTTTATTATTCCTGAAAATAATTTTAAAAATTTCACAAAAATGTTATTACAATTTTTTAAAATATTTGAATTTCGGTGAAGAATTATATTATTTATAAAAATAATTGAATTTCTAAAAAGAACTTTGTTAAACTTTTTTAAATAATTGACGAATTTTATAAAAATATTTTTAAATAATTGATATTTAACGAATATTGTTATGAAATTTTGTATATTAAATATTTGAACTCATGTGGAGATTTTATTACCAAGTTGAAGTCCACAACGTTTATCAACGAAAAAAGTTTTTTAATAAGTGTTAATTAATAGGAAAAAAAGGATAAAGCAACAATACTGTCAAAAATGTATTGAAAGGGAGCTTTATTTATATTTTAATAATAATAATTGTTGTATATTTTACAAAAATATAATAATAGAATAAATTAAAAAACCTTTTTCGTTGATCAACGTTGTGGACTTCAACTTCGTATTTTATTATTTATGCAAATAATTGAATTATTTAAAAGATATTTATTAAAATTTTTATAAATTATTGAATTCCTGAGAAATTTTAACAAGAATTTTATTCGTTTTTAAAAATAATTGAATTTGGAAGAAGAGTTTTATTATTTATAACTGTAATTTAAATTTCGACGAGAATTTAAAAAAAATAATAATTCAATTCTTGGGAAAATTTTATTATTTATGAAAATAATTGATTTATTTCGAAGAAATTTATTAAAAATTTTGTAAACTATCGAATTCTTGTGAAATTTTGCCAAGAAGTTTATTAAAGGTTTTAAAAATAATTGAATTTCGAAGAAGAATTGTTTTATTTATAAAGATATTTTAAATTTTGACGAGAATTTTTTAAAAACTTTTGAACATAATTGAATTTTGGAGAAGAATTTTATTATTTTTAAAGATAATTGAAATGAACAGAATTTTTTTTTAAATTTTTTAATTATTTGTAACTTTTCCAAATTTAACTTTTTTTTTAGTATTTTTAACTAAATTTCTTTTATCAATCTCGTATTTATGAAAATTGTAAAAATTATTTATTATATAATTTATTCGTTGTAATTTCCCAGTTTACAAGGCAAACAAAAAAACCATTAAAATTCAGAGTTTTTTCATGAATTTTTAAAATTCAATTTTTTCCAGTACTTTTACTAAAAATCCCTGACTTTTTCCTGCAATCCCTGTCTTCCTTGACCTTGGTAATACTTATTATACAAATCCATGATTTAAAAAAAAATTAATAAAAATAGTACAAAAAGTAAATTTTTGAAAAATATTTTTATGTAAATTTTGGGAAAAAAATAATAATAATATTTAATTAATATTTAAAACTTACTTTGTTTTTTCCACCCATTGTTGTTCGATTGAATAATCGGGGTAATCCTTCACACCACTATGAACTGACCACTGAATGCAAATCAATGCTAATGACCGGAACGCACGACCTTGTCTTCCACTTTCTTCTTGTCCACCCCTTTCTCTCCACCCCACTCCCATGTCTCATAGTTGCGGAAGCCAATGAATAGGCAGACCGATTTCCGCGAATTCAAATTTGTGGGAAATGTTTTGACGCGGCTGTGGAAACATCTAGAAAGACGCGACGCGTTCCATTGATCATTTATTCAGTGATAAAAAAAAGTGTTTGTGTACTTTTTTCTGTTGAAAGTGATCAGTACTATTTATTAATTTAAAATTATTATTATTATTATTATTATTTTTATTATTATTATTATTACAATTTAAATTACTTTATTTTTTTTCGTTTTTTACTATTTTAAAAAATGTCCGAGAGAAAAATTTTGGAATCAGTTGCCAAAATTCTTTTGGATACTGTCGACTCAGAAGCAGAGGTAAAATTCAACGCAGCATTTTGGAGAAAAGTAAGTAAATTTATTTATTACTTAATGAAAATTTTGCCATTTTTATATTAATTGATTCACTTAAAATATAATCAAAAACAAAAGAAAATGTTTCTCATACATTATTAGTAAATAGTTTTTATTGTAAAATTACTCGAAACTTAAATATTTTTTTAACATGAATATTAAATTATTATTCTTTACCTGTGAAATAGAATTCTCAAAAATTACCAATTTTTTAGCCTACAGAAATTCAATAATTTATAAAAAAAAACTACAAATGCAGCTCTTCTAATTCTAATTATATTTAACATTTTTTTAAGTAAAACTTATTCACTATATAATTTATAAATAATAATAATAATAAAGAAAATTTGTTTTTAAATGTTATGTCGGTTAGTTCATTATGTTTGTAATTAATGTCTGAAAGAACAAAATTTTTTTCTTTCCAAAACAATATGTGCTTTTTACAATTTTTTCTTTTATAAATAATTGATTAAAAAATTGAATAAGAAGAATTTTTTTAAACCTCCGCCAATGTGAAATATTAAGAGATAGGTATTTTCCAATCCTTTTAAATTCTGAGGAAAAGGAGAATTCTTGTTTGGTCAGGAAGTAGTGTCAGTCAACGTCTAGTCACACGTTCCAACAATCGGGCTCGCATTTGTTTCAAATTTTTCTTATTTTGCTACATATTTTTAATTTAATTTAGTTTCTTCTGTAAAAAAATTTCTATAAATTCTATTTTGAATAATAATTTCTAAGAAAATAAAATAATAATTTTTTTTAGTAATTGTTTGAGAATTAATAAAATAAAATAGAACTATTCATACTTTTATCATCATTTTTAAACAAATTTTCAAGTATTTGAATGTACAGTAATTAAAATTAAAAATCCACCATTTTTATTTGTCAATTACAATTTTTTTTAACAAAATTTCGTGTATTAAAAATTGAAAAAAATGTTAATAAATGCAATTTCTTAAATCACAATTTTCAATTGGAAATAAAAATGAGAATTTCAATAAATTTTTACATAGTGTGGAAGAAAAACGACTTGAATTTGTTTATAAAACTTTTAGTTTCTTCTGTTAAAAAATTTGTTATAATTTATATTTTTTAAAAATAATCTTTAAGAAAATTATAATTGTTAATTAATAATTAATTATAAATTAAATAATAAATTAATAATTAATTGTTAATTATAATTGTCATTGTTTGGAGAAATTAATAAAATAAATTTGAATATTTCATATTTCTTCATAAAAAGTTTAAAAAAAAACCTAAAATATCTTAACCTTTGAACTCAATAATTAATTTGGAAAAAGTAGCTTTTAGACTGAAAAAGTAGTGAAAAGTAGTTAACGAAAATTAAGTATGACGACTAAAAAACTGATTTAAGTCGATTCACAAAAACATAAAATTTGATTTTGTATTTTCATGATTTCCATAAAAATTATATGTTTAAAAATAATTTTTAATAACTAAAAGAAATTTTTTTTTAAATATAAAATTTATTTCAATTAAATTCAAATAAATTTTTTAATTTTTAATACGAATTTAAATATATTTAATAGATTTTAATTAAAAATTTTCAAAATAAGACTCGTTTTTCACAATTCCGAAATTCAATTATTCATAGTTGAATAATTTTTTTCAATAAAATAAATAAATACTCACTTCGTTTTCTATGGGAATTAAAGTTTTAAATAATTTTAATGTAAAAGTTTTTTGAAATTTACCTATTTCTATAAATTCATACTATAACGCATTTATTATTTAATTATCATCTAAAATTTTTACTGCAATCCATTTTCAAATAAATTATTCATTATTATTAATTATAATTGAATTCTTGCATAAAATTTTCTTAAATTTTTTCAAATATTTGAGTTTTTCAAAAAACATTATGAAAATTATTCTGAAAATTATTATTCATGATTATAATTGAATTTTAAACAAGAATTTTATTATTTTTGAAAATATAATTGAATATTAGCGAAGAATATTTGATAAAAATTTTTTAAAGTAATCAAATTATTTTGCGAAATTTTGTAACGTTGTAAAGAATTTATTATTTATGAAAATAATTAAATTCTCGCATAGAACTTATTTTATAAATTTTTTTAAATAGTTAAATTCCTAAGAAAATTCTATTATTCATGACATTAATTTAATTTTTGTGTTAAATTTAATTTTTTTTTAATAATTTAATTACATTGAAAATTTAATTAACATAGTAAATATTGAAAATGTTTGAATATTAGCGAGAAATTTTATTATTGTTTGCAAAAATATTGAATTCTTTCAAAAATTCTCCAACAGTTTTTGGAAATGAATTGTTTTAAAGAATTTTATTAAATTTTAAGAATAAAAATATATATAAAAAGTAGCTAATTGTAAAAGAAGTAGTTAATAGTATGTTTCAGTGGATGAATGCACAGCTTGGTATTTAAAAAATAAAAAAAATTATTATGTAATTTGTGTTTTTTAATTATATTTTAACAGAAATAAAATTTCTGTTTTAAAAAGAAATGGAAATAATTAGAATAATTATTCTGTGATGTTCATAATGTTTATAGTCAACTATTAATTCCAACTTATATTTTTCAAATGGATACTAATAAATATTAAAAATAAATTATTAATATTTTTCAAGCGAAAAATTTTAACTTTGCATAATTTCAAATATTTTCTTTTGCAAAAGTGCACCTGCTTCCAGAAAATTAACCACAATATACACACACCAGGGTTACCATGCAACCTGAAAAATCTGGAAATGTCAGGGAATTTTATAAACCCTGTAAAAAAACCTCGAAAAAATCACCAAGTTGAGGTCCACAACGTTGATCAACAAAAGAAAATTTTTCACTTAGTTAATAATTAAAAATGTCGCAGCAATATTGATACAAAAATATTTAGAAATAAAAGATTTATATTTTGATACTAATTATTTTACAATTAAATATAAAAATTAAAAATAATACTTGGAAGCATTTAATAAATTTATTCGTTGGTAAACTTGTGGACTTAACTTCGCGAAAATCAGGGAATTTTGATCGGAATCCTGGAAAATTATTGTTTTCTAAAGTTATTGTGCTTATTATTAAAATCTAATTTTTCTTCAATATTTCAAAATTAATTCAATTTTAAAAGAGTACGTTTACCATTTTTTATAATAATTTCAATTTTCTAAAAGAATTCCATTATTGAAAAAAATTCAATGAAATTCTACGCAAACATTCAATTATTTTCATAAATAATCAAAATTTCACAAGAATTCTATTATTTACACCCAATGGGAAATGCCAGTGTAGTGCCGATGTTCACCACTGGCTTAGTACTCAGACGATTGTTCGGCGTAGTGTAGCCGAGCCTCGACAATCAGTGCTGGCGCAGTACAGAATTTTTGTTTCGCCAAGCTTGGACAAGCCACGGCGGCAAGTGCTGGCCTGAGTATAGAAAAATTGTTCAACAACGCTCTTTGCCAAACGTTGCTTTTTTGACATAAACTTTGAAAAAAATTATAAAAAAAGTTTATCAATGTTTATAAATATAAATTTATTGGACAAAAATTAATATTTTACTTCGT